GTTTCCTTCAAGATCCACATAAATTCGCCATATATCCAAACCTAGCACACTAGAAAACTGTTTGCCTCAGCCCATTAACAACACCTGAACAGAATTGATGGTTGACCTTAAATAACCCATCCCCTCATCAGACACTCAGAACTCAAAATTAAATACGCCCCCTGGTGGCGACAAACACCAAAGGATAATTGGCTCCTACAGTAGACGAGTTTAACTTAATAAAATAAATCAACCTTTCACTGATGGCAGGCATCTGTCTTTAGATCATTACTGATAGTTTTATCCATCCTTTCTTCAGTCAGGTTGGATGCAAAACATCTATGAACATCAGTTTTCAATTCAGGCACAGATTAGAATTTATATTTAGGTCTGAACTTTGACTAGGCCATTCTAACCCAGCATTCAACCACCTGGTATCTGAATGTCCTGGGTGCTTCTTCTGCTGGAAGGTGAACCTCAACCCCAGTCTTCTGAAGCCTCCAAGAGATTTTCTTCCAGAATTCTCCTAGATTTCCTTCCATTCAGCTTCCCATCAGCTGTAACCCACTCCCTTGTCTCACGGCATGATGCTGCCACCACTGTGTTTTACAGTGAGGATTATTTGGATTAAGTAAAGGGCAGAAAAGTTGACTTTTAGTCACCTCTTCCACATTTTTGCTCCATATAAACACTTCTACAGTCTGCAGTACATCTTATAATCTTGGACCCGTCTGCGGTTCTTCAGTTTGTCCCCAGAACCAGTTAAAGAAAATTAGCTTAAAAGGTGAAATCCCTTCAAGAACTTCAAGTCTAAACCGTTTTTTCTGGTTCTATAGTTTCCCTTCAGCTGCTGCCTTCATGAAGACCATGCATGTGTGAACGACTTCCTGTTTACCTGCCGGATTCGGCCTCCAGGGGATCATCTGCCAGAGCGTCAGCGTTGAAATCCAGAGGTTCGGCGTCCTGCAGCAGCTCGATGCAGTCCCTCTCTGCTCGGCCCCCGGGGCGGGAATATTTATTCTCTGATGGTCAGACACAGAGAATCGGATCTGTTAGGCTTCTGTTTTAACAGGCGTTCACAGCAGGGAGACAAAGAGCTTCTGACTCACGTCTGTCCCTGCTAGACTCTGAATAGTTTGTTTCCTTCATCTCATGACTGCTCCGGTTCCTCGCAGTGAAGTCGTCCCTCTGGTTTCCATAACGTTCCTTCCACTCCTGAAACAAACACAAGATGAGACATCACAACTACATCTCCACTAGATGGCAGCAGATTGCCGTCTCTTTTTGTGAACGTTTTTTTCATCCACTCACTCTCCGTCTGTTCTCTCCATCTTCCATCCTTTGCCGCTTCCTCCTCTCTGTGGGAAACAAAACGCGGTTAACGGAACATAAACGATCGGTTTAGTTCCCACCAGACACAGCGATCGCTTTTTCTCTTCTCACCACGTCGGATCAACTCCTTTCCCTCGTCGATCAGGTCAGAGGTCATCTCACTGTCGTCCATGAACTGCTGGAAGCCCAGAAGGTTCAGGCAGCGGGTTCCCAGGCTGTTTCAGAACGATAAAGAACATTTTTTACAAGCTTTGATTAATAACTGTTAATAAAAATCCCCAAGAGACCAAAAGTCATTTAAACAGGGAACATTTTCACTTCAGGTTTAATTATTTAAATTTATTGTTATTTATTCATTGTTCTTCAGTGTTCTGCTGATATTTGGTCAGATGTGGGCATTTTCTCCTTTGATGAAGCCGTTTTACTACAGGGTAATAGTGTGATAAACTGCAGAGTAATAGTGATAAACTGCAGGGTAATAGTGTGATAAACTACAGAGTAATAGTGATAAACTGCAGGGTAATGGTGTGATAAACTGCAGAGTAATAGTGATAAACTGCAGAGTAATAGTGATAAACTGCAGAGTAATAGTGATAAACTGCAGAGTAATAGTGATAAACTGCAG